ATGATTATGATCTTAAATGATTAAGAAATTGAGATTAGTAACACATCCTTAACTTAAGGGTGACAGAACATATAATAATTATGTTAACTGCTATAAATACATACCTGGAAGTTGGCATGAAATTTTCCGAACTACATCATTTGTTGACACACATGAAGTCATTTGAAAGCAATTGTTATATTCTTGCGATATTTTTCAAAAAGTGTATGGAATTGTTCTATTCCTGAAACCCAATGAGTACAATGGCTTTGTGGTGGTTCCAATGGTATCAATTTCATTTACCATTTGCCAGCAACACAATCCATTAGCTTCGTTTTTAAATTTTTCAGTGCCTTAACATGAGCAAAACCGAGTCATAGAACCATATGACAACACATTGCGTAGTTACTTAGTCAATTGACACATCGTTAACTGAAAGCAGCTCCGATTCAACTTGTGCGATTATTAGTTGAATTTGCGCTCGCCTCACGCGTTCGTGATATCGAATTCTTTCACGTTCATTTCGGTTCGTCCGTTCTTGTGCAGCATGATTTAGATCGGTATTAGCCTTGGTCTTGTAGCAATTAGGGTCTTCTACCTAAATTGCTTCGTCTAATAGGAGGCAGATCTATTATCTATAATAGTTCGGAACGCGACATTAAATCTCCAAACCATGTATTCTGTGCCTCCAACGCACACCACGCACACTGTTTGAAGCATATGATGAATTTCAACTTTGTATAACGGTAAATAAAGTGGCAATTGTAGTTGCCCACCCTTGCCAATTCCAGAAAACCGGAGACCGCTGCGACCGGGGGGTAATCAAATATTTAATTGCTAAATAAAGCTATTATGTGAGTGAGAGTTTTAATTTAAAATTAACATAACTCATTCTATTTATGTAATTCAAATATAAATAAAAATAATAAATGAGAAAGAATATTTGCAAACATTTTATACTAAATTATCTATTTATGCTAGTGTTATTAACATACTTTTCTATTAATTCGTTTTTATAACGAATTACACAACCTGTTCGGAATTTCTTAAAAATGTTGTTCGCTCAATATAGTCTTAACGTCTTTATTCTAAACAAAAAGAAGAATTATGAATTAATTATTTTTAGGTTATAGAGGATATGTTAAAACAAATTTGTATGTAAAAACTTACCTGTATAATTATCGTTTAACATTTATTCAAAATTGTTATTGTATAATCATAAATATTCAGCCTTTGGATACAAATGTCGATACGAAAAATTCGATCGTTGTTCAAATAATGAAGATATTCGAATAGCATTCCCGGGTGATTATCTTGAAACTTTTGGGCGCGAGGGTGCGCATTTTCGCATATCGCTAGATGCTGTCTCTGTCTGATATTGCTAGAAAGAAAGAGACAGCGGATGCGGATTAACCGAGATTCGCAAGTCCAATTTTCATTTTCTGCTCCTTTTATCTTTCTAATTGAGAGGAAAGGACAGATTTCTGATGGAAATAGAAAACCTTTAAATTTTTAAGTGAAAAAATCTATTTATTTGTAAAAAAAATTGAAAATTATTGGAAATTAAAAAAAAAACGGCAGATTATTTTTTTCAAAAAACCGAGAAGGAGATTGAAGCTCAAAAACCGGAGTCTCCTGTCTAAAACGGAGTGGTGGCAACCCTAGCAATTGACTCTTTGACGTTAGGAAACATACCTACAACAATGAAGTGCTTATACAACAGCTATTAAAGCTCAAATTGATCTACGTTTTAGATAGAAAACGTTTGCTATGGGAAAAAGAAAATGGCTGTTTTTAGGATTTTTTCGGCAATTATTCGATTTTTCTCGACGTAAGAAACCATCCTTGAACTTCAACGAACATTTTAAAAAAAGAATTGCCCAAATTGGTGTCCAGGCGTTGTGAGTTATGCGCTTACCCAACACATTTTGCCATTCATTTTCTATATTATAGATTTATCTATTATGTAGTGTTTTTAACATACCTTTATTAATGGTTATTATTATACGAAATTACACAACGTTCGGAATTTCTTAAAACGTTTGTTTTGCTCAATTAAAATATAGTCTTTAACTTCAGTTAATTTCTAAACAAAGAATTATGATTTAATTATTTTTAGGTTATAGCAGAGGATGTAAAAACAAATTTGTATGTAAAAACTTACCTGTTAATTATTCGTTTTTAACATTTTATTTCAAAATTGTATTGTATATCTTAAATATTCAGCCTTTGATTACGAAATGTCGATACGAAATACGAAAAATTCGATCTTGTTTCAAAATGAAGATATCGCAATAGCATCCGGCGAGGAGTATTCTTTGAAAACTGTTGGGCGATGCGATTCTCGCATAATCGTAGATTGCCTGTCTGCTGATAAGCGTAGAAAGAAAGAGACAAGCGGATGGCGATAACGACGAGAATTCGCAAGACAATTTCATGTTTCTGCTTCTTTATCTTTCTAATGAAGAAGACAAGGTCAGATTTCAGATGAAATAGAAAAAGCTTTAAATTTTAAGTTTGAAAAATCTAATTTTATTTTGCTTAAAAAAAGATGAAAATGTATGAAAGGGAAAAAAAAAAACGGAGATGAATTTTTCAAAAAAACGGAACCGGCAGAATGAAGCTGCAAAAAACCGGAGTCCCCGTCTATAACCGAGAGGTGAAACCCTAGGCAAATTGACTCTTTGACGTTAGAACATTACCTACAACAATGAGTGCTAATGTGCTACTAACAACAATGAGTTCTTTATACAACAGCTATAAAAGCTCAAATTGACTCCTACGTTTTAGTTAGAAAACTTTTGATAGGGAAAAGAAAAAAGCTGTTTTTAGTGTTTTTTCGGCAATTATTCGATTTTTTCTCTGCGTTTTAAAAACCATGCTTGAACTTCAAACAAACATTTTAAAAAAAGATTGCCCAAATTGTTTCTAGGCGTTGTTGAGTTATGCGCTTACCAACACATTTTGCGATTCATTTTTATATTATAGATGCCTTACAAAATGAGCAAACCGAGTTCATAGAACCAATAACAACACATTGGTATTCACTGTAGTCAATTGATCAATCGTAACTGAAAGCAGCTCTATTCAACCTTGCGCGATTATTAGTTGAATGTAGCGCTCGCGCTTCATGCGTTTGTGATATCGGAATTCTTTCACGTTCATTTCGGTCGTCGGGTTCTTGTGCAGCATGTTTGGATCGGTAATTAGCTTGGTTTGTAGCATTTTGGGTTCTTCTACCTAAATTGCTTCGTGTATTAGGAGGCATATCTATATTATACATTATTTTGTTAATAGTTTCGGAACGCGACATTAAATCGTCCAACGATGTATTCTGTGCTCCAACCCACACACGCACACTGTTTTGATGGATATGATTGAATTTGAACTTTGTTTAACGGTAATAAAGTGCAAATTGACTCTTTGACGTTAGGAACATATCTACATTGTTTAAACAACACTGAGTGTTTTATACAATAGCTATAAAGCTCAAATTGACTCTATGTTTTAGTTAGAAAACGTTTGTATGGGAAAAAGAAAAGGGCCATGCCTCCTAAGGTAGGCCTTCCTACACACCTATAAGTCCTCCCTATAGCAGTGCTCTTCAAAACTTACTGATAAGAAACTTACTGAAAAGAGAGAGAGAAAAAAATGGATTTCAGATTACCATATCTAAAATTTACACCCTACATTTTTTCCTGAGGGTAGATTATTTTCTTCCAATCTCTATTCAATTTCACTATTTACCCTAATCCTTTGATTCCAAGAAATCTCAGGTCTTTATCTCCTGACACTCTTTGCTCGGTAGTATTAAAAATGTCTAAAAATTATCTAAATTGGAATTTCTGACCGCTATGATGCATTTGATATCAAATACTCCCCTTCTGAGAGACAGCTACTGGATATTTTAGTTTCCTATATCAAAGAAAATGACAAATTATTTGATTAATCAACAAGCATCTGTAATAAAAAGTAAACATATTTAGAATATTACATATACTCATTTAGAAAGGATGTCATTCATTTAAACTGGAACCCAATTACAGAGAGCCAAATCATTCTTTCCCAGACCTCATTCAAGGATTCCAAGTCTTTCCTTACCATTAAACCATCCGTAACAGTGTGTCAGGATATAATTTTAGAATTAAAAGAGCTTTGAAATCTATATGAATCCTGCAAACTGAATGAAATTTACTATTTTACAATCATATTTTGGAAAAGAAATTTTTTTTTTTTTTTCAATTCCTGGGTATAGACAATTTTTTTCACACTTGGAATAATAATTCAATGATCCAAAAATTTATAATATTTCAACCAAAGAATCTTATGTTTCCATTACTTTATATTACATACTATTGCAGTCCCTATTTAATTTTGGATAACCATGCAATTAATAGTGTTACAGAGTTTCAGATTCTGCCTCTTGTGCTATTTTATTCAAATGAAACCTAAAACAGACAATTTATGTATAAATTGAATAAAATAGCATGACACTGCAGAATCGAACTTCGTAACACTATTAATTATCCAATTCTTCAAAAATTAAATAGGACTGTAAAAGAAAACAATATTATACATGACAACCAGAATTTAAATTAGTATTGTATTTCATCATTTCACAATAACAGTAACAATTTTTCATACACATTAAATTTAATATGAATAAAATATAATTTCAAATAAATCAAATATGTGAATTATAATTTTGCATAATCACTGAACAAATATATTTCTTTGGAACACTCATAAAAAGAAATTTAAAAAAGGTTTTGTTTCATTCAAGTGCACAATATGAACATTTGATGTAGAACTTCAATATATAAAAAAAATTTTTTAAGTACACTGATAAAAAATGTGTCAAAACAGTTCTTCTGTATTAACACTGCAAAACTTTGATGAGCCTACTTAATTCAGGAGTGATCACGACTTTCTCCCACTCTCCTTCTATGCCAAACAGTTTTGGCAAGTAGCATCCCATACACACACACACTCTGAACTGGGTAGTAGCAGTTAAATGAATGATACACTTCTCCGTCAATTGCCCTTGAAGGAGACTCCACTCGAATAGGTCTACCATCTATAATAGCATAACTAGATGATATGTTTTTAATAGACTCTCCCACAATTAGAGGAAAAGGTTGTAGAGTGGTGTGGATTTACGCATCTGTTCTAAAGTCTTCTGTAGGTCACCAATAACCTGAAATAAGTGATTTAGTAAGATAAATTTGGTAGAACACTACAAAATAAAGTTGCATACTTCTGCTAATTACCTTCAAATGGACAAGAACCCCTACCTGAATTTCTGCCCTAGTGGCACGCCATGCCTTCCTGTCTAAAATCCTATCATGAACAATCAGAAACAGCTTTGGTATCTCATAGATTGGAGCAGTTTCACAATCTGAAAAAATGTTGGCACTGTTATCTAAAGTTCAAAAGTGTACATCTGTCCAAGTTAACGATTTACCTAGACTGTCTTCTTTAACACCATTCCTAACCAATTTTGCTTTTAGCTTCTCAGAAAACTCAGGCCACTTAATGGACCAATTGTGTTGAGCCTCCTTAAGTAGCACTGCAAAATCTATTTCAAGCTGCAAAAATCCAAACTAATTAGTATACTGCATCATTACAGCACTTCTCACATAAATCTTTTTATAGATGAATATATAACAAAAGGTGGCCTCCCGGTTGCTTTAAAATTGGATATCTGTTGATATAATCTACAACCTTACTTTCTGTCTCACTGTCCTTACGCAATTGCCTCTGCCTAATTAAATTGGTGCTTTCCCAGCAAGCTTTGAGCTCTTCCCATGGCTCTAAATGAGTTCTAAGAAAATCTAGTTTCCTTTTAATATCAAAATCTGGAAAAGATATCGAACACCTTCACATTATCTAATAGCAATGATTATCACTGAAAGTAACCATTTTCCCCCCACCTTCTTGTGATTCTAGTTGAGATGCCAAAGTAGGAAGAGATGGAGAACTGTACACACTCAAAAGAGGGTGAAGAAGAGGCAGCAAAATTAAGACAATTTCTTAATTCTGTCTTCCTGAGGGTTTTGTTTAAATTTGCATATGCATCATATAGCTTCCCTGAAACTGCAAGACTCTTTCCTCTCACCCTTGATGGGATGTAATAAGTCTCCTGCAGAAAGAAGATCACAACATTTCCCTTCATACCCTTTAATAACAACAACTGAACTTACTTGAATTTCACCAGAAGAAACACTGAACTATCAAATTTGCCAGTTCTAAAAATCTCAGTTTGGAGATTCTGCAAGAAAAAATTTCCTATTTCAATGAATTTGCTAATATATATTTTCAAAATGCTTCTTCCCTTTCTTATTACTTTAAAACTGTTCTTAATAATAATTAATGATACATTTAATTAAGAATCAATTTAATAAAACCAATTAAGATTAAAAAAACTTTAAGACTTTTAAATTCATATTTTGAATATTCTTACAATGTATTTGTATTAGCTCCATATTCAGCATAAACAACAAGCTCAGCAAGTTTACAGTGAGAACTGTTATCCAAGTCACTCTTCCAATTAAGAGCGAGAACAGACTACCCTATTGCAGTTCTTTCCAAAACTTCATGTATAAACTGAAAACAGAAAGGAAAGTAATATTTTTGTGTTCAGACTACTTTTCTCTAAAATTCATTACCTACTTTTTTTTTTTTTTGCTGGATTATTTTTCTCTTCGAGTCTCTTTTCAATTTCTCTACTCTAATCTTCTTGTTGTGATTAATCTCAGGACCTTCTGAATTTATACCCTGACACTCACTCTGCTCGTCAGCATAAGAAATTTTAGTCACAAATTGATCAGAAGATAAAATTTCAGGTATGAAATATTCAGTTTCAGTGATGGATATGTTAATTCCCTACAAAAAATAAAAGTAGAAATTAGTTTGAAAAATCAACAAGAATCAGTGATAAAATGCAAATATACCTAAAACAATTCAATAAATGAATGAATTAATTGCAGCCCCATTAACAGACCAGTAATGAAAACACCCTTCACTAACCTCTTCCAATGTTTCCAGACCTGCCCTCAACATTAATGCATTCCTATCAGTAGGTACAATGGTGGAAATTGTGTCGGAGAATTTTTTTAGCAACAGCAATGCATCATAATCCATATTATTCTCAGCAAACCAGATCAAGTTTACAATTATATAATCAGGATTGGAAAAGAATCTGAACTATTTCTAAAAAAGGAAACAAAAAAAAACTAACAAATAAAAATTTCGATGTATAAACTTATTCTGTTTAAACTTTGGGACAACCCTTATGGAAAAATTCTATAGTTACTATAAAAAAATTTCTATTATTGAGTTCTATAGTAACTACAGAAAATTTCTATATTAAATTGCGCACCATAGAACTATAGAAGCTATAGTTACTATAGAAAACCTGAAGTAACTATAGAGCCTATAGTGACTATAAACTATTAAACCTATAGTTATCGTAGAAATTCTGTAGTCACTATAGATCCTATAGGTCCTGTAGTAGCTATAGACCCTATAGTGACTGTAGGTCCTGTAGAAGCTATATTCCCTATAGTGACTATAGGCTTTTGTGAGATTTATTTTTATTAAAATTTTTAATAAAGTTATTGACATTTTATAATGAGTGATAATAATTTAATAATACAAAATTGTTTAAAATTTAAACATTAAATCAAAGCTACTTGCAGATAATTAAATGTAAATTCTTCATCCGAAATTGTGCTCCCATTGAAATATTCATAAAAGTTTCTCTCATTATGTGATAGTTTTAATAAACAATTTTTTGTTAATCATTATTATATAAAAATTATGATTTTGATAACTGTGTAGATATATATCTGGGTATTGAGATATAAAAAAATCAAGTCTTAAAATATATTTATATATTATATATGTTTAAAACAGTACAGTATAATTACACTTATAATTTCAAATAGTTACGTCATGAGTAGAACCAGTAGAGACGATAGATCGGCTGCAATTGTTGCATTTATTACGCACAATACTTTTAAAAAGTTTATCCACATCATTCTGTGGACCAAAAATTAATGCTGCATGTGCTGCAAAAGGAAAGTAAAGAACTTCTTTGTTGAACGTTTATTAATGAAAGAATCATTATTCAAATAAATATTAGCAAAGAAGAAATAATTTCAAACTTAAGAATATAATAATTGGAAATTATGTAATAAACTTTAACATATCAGTGTATAAAATGGATAAAAAGAGAATTTTAACCTGAAATTTTCCTTAAATTTATTAATTCTTACAGTAATTAAAAATTTTTAGAATAACAAAATCTTGGTGTAATAACAGAAATTCATTTGATGAAATATATGTGCATTACTTACATTTAACAAAGTTCAGCAACTTCTTATCCAGCTGTCCTTTTGCAGCTTTTGATTTGTGGGTCTTTGGAGATGGTGCCTGTCACACATGGCCAATGTTTGTTTCCCAAACACAAGTATCAGAATGTCTGTTACATATTTTGAAAAAGTTGCCTTGTTGCACTTCTTCAATCTTTCTTTATTCACTCTTACGTCTGAATTTGGCATTAGTTCTATTTCATTCCAAAAAAATCAATAAATTAAATACTATAAAACTTTCTTTAAAAACTATTAAAAATTATTTACGCTCATAATGTCTTCATCAGAATCCTCGAGTTTCAATGTGTCCAAACTAAACGACTAAAGTATTATGGAAAGCCTTAAATCAGAAGTTCGGAGTCCCGTGTAAAAGTGCCATTGCTAGACCAAAAAATGAAAACATGATAGAAGAATTCACTAATCATTCTGCAACTATCATACAATATTCCGCATATGATATTTTAATATTATGAAAATATTATAAAAATAATATTATATAATTATGCTTTTATTATTTATTTTAAAGATTCTGCATACAAATATTTTATAAGTTAATATAATTGTTTAGAACTCTATAAAGACATAATATTTCTAAAATATTAATTTCAAAATGGAATATTTTAGAAATAATTATTTAGGCAGTCATAGAAAATATTTTAGAAATAATCATATATATTACAGTAAGATTATAAAAATATTAATAATATTGTGTCTTTATTAGGATCAAGGATATTCTACACTGTGTGTCTTTTAATGAATAAAGACTTAATCAAATTTAATATTTTATTGTAGCAAAATGCAGAAGTTGATATTATTGCCAATATCATTGATAACAATTAGTTTCCTGACAATGAAAACGTATAAATTGTTAATCACAACAATGGAGAAGAAAATGCAAGTTGATTGTATTATCGTTAACTCAACAATTATTAACTTAACAAATTTTGCTTGAAAATATAGAAAGTACAGCTGAATCTTATACAAGACTTATGTATAAAAACAGTCTTTTTCATGGAACTAGTTACAGCAGACTCAAGAAAAGAAACAATAGTACTGTATTATTAAATATAATGACTATAAATTAAATTGTAATCGTGAAAATGCAAACATCTAATGTTAAAAAATGTATTATATTCGGTCATGAATTACAAAAGTGTAATAGAATTGCATACAATGTTAATAATTTTTCATTTAAAAATTACAGTTTTATTGTTAAAAAAAACTATCAATGTTATATACGACACAGTAGACATATTACAACAAATGATCATTATTATGAATGTAGAAAATGATGAATTTTGTGTTATACCTTTAGTTTTTGTTTCTGAAATGGATTAAATATATTCGGTATATATTCTATTATGTAGCATTAAACATATATAATAACCAGATTAAGTATATTCAGTATATATCCTATTATGTAGCATTAAACATATACAATTTAATTAAATAAATTAATTATGTAATTATAAAATTGTAATTGCAATATACAAGCAAGCAAATAAAACTAAACTAATCAATCGGCGGAGTATATTTGTTCAAGATGTAAATATACAATTTATGTTAGAAATAAAACTTTATTACAATATTTATACGTATTATTTAGACATAGTAAAATATGATGAGTGTTTAATATATAAGCTCAAATACGAATTCAAATATTAATATAATTTACAAAAAGAATAAATATGTCAATTGACATATTTATTCTTTATGTAAATTATATTATATTTAAAACTCATTGTTAATTTATATACTTTAATTTTGTTACAAAATTTAAATTTTTTTTTTTGTTTTGCATATATTAAGTTTAAACAAAAAGTATAAAGAATACGCAGATTAAAATTATAAATAAAAATATCCCTTCAGCTGCTAAACCTATATATATATATATATATATATATATATATATATATATATATATATATATATATA